TGAATATTTGTTATAGATTAATTTGTTTTCTAAACTTTTTGTTTTGTAATATTTATGTTTTAGTTTTCTTTTAGTTTTACTTGCGACCCTTATACCTTTTGTGATCCACTTTGGAGCGAAATTGTCTGTTTTGATTTTATATTTTTGTAATGGAAAACAGAGGTCATATAATAAACAAATTAAGTCATGAAATTTATTAAAAATATTATTAAAAATGTCATCTGTAGTTTCTTTTTCCCACGATATATTTCGAATGCATTTACGAAACTTATCAATATTTTCCTTAGAGTAATTTCTTTTCGTAGTATACCAGTATTTAATTTTAGGTAGCAGTTTAATTGGAAAACTTAGAGATTGACAGGTGTTATGATCTGATAAATGAAAATTGTACAGGGAAGTAGAAATATCAGACTCTTTGAAATTGCTAGCTATATGATCAATACATGTGTGATGTCTCGTAGGTTTATCATTATGTAGTTTAAGGTTGTAGCTGTATAACAAATTTTTTTAAGTCATGAGTGACGTTATTATTCTTAAGTGTGTCAATATTAAAGTCACCACACAATATGACTTTCTTTTTGTTAAGCTTAAATGCTAATTTATGAAAAAGAAGATCTAGTTTGTTGAAAAATATTGATACAGGCGATTTGGGAGTTCTATATACACAAAAAATTACACATTTGTAACTTGGTACCTCTATTCCGCAACACTCAAAAATTTTGTCTGCTGATAATTCATAGCATAAGTGTATAACTTTAAATTCTATTGACTTTCTAATAAGAATACATACACCTCCACGTTTTTCTTTTGTTCTACAATATAATGAAGCTAATTTAAAATTTTTAAACTGAATGTTACTCTCATCTCCCTTTTTAACAAATGTTTCACTAAAACATAAAAAGTTTATTTCTTGCCCCTCATTTGTTAGTTCATCAATACATAGTTCTATCGAATCAATTTTGTTAAGCAAACCTGCTATGTTTTGATGTAGTATGGAAGTAATTTCATGTTTTTGGTTATTATTGCGTATGAAAAAATGGAGTCGTGGACACATTTACGTTAGTACTTTTTTCAACAGTTAATTTATTATTTAATTTATTCACCTTTTTGAAATAATATGGTATGGTGCCAATTTTAGGTTCAGCTGTTTTGCTTTCGTTAGCTAACATAATTATTTCTTGGGATTTTTTCATAATGTGCATCGTATTCGTATCAGATGTATTACTGCGATTTTTAATAATAGTTTTAATATTTTTAATAAAATGCTTTTCGTAATATTTAGAGTCTAATATTAGATTAATTTTTGCACAGATATTTGCGTGATATTCCGTCCTAGACCTGTGTGTGCATTCAATAAAATTACAATTTGGAATGTTATAGCACAAGTTTTTTAACATATTATTTAATTTATATTCATTTAGATATTTATTGTAATTAGTATTAAGTATAATAAAGTTTGAGTTTTTTAGTATTTTTATTACAGCAGCTGTTTCAAAGAATATTTTTGTGACGTTCGTGTCATTTTCCCCAACACAAAGAACAAAGTAGTTAGTGTTAGAATCTTCAATGTTATAACAGCCTTTAAGGATTTCTTCTGTTTTGGCATGAGGTTTTGTCCAAGAGAATATGTCAAAATCTTCAAATTTTGTGTTGATTCTAGAATAAATCAGTTTTGACGCCAGACCTACGCATTGTTGTCCTCCTACTATGAAAATTTTGCTCTTTTTTAATACCTCTTTAGAGTTTTTTTTATCTGATGGCAGCTTTGAGTTATCCAAAACAGTTTCTTCTTCAGTGTTATTTGAACGTAATAAGTGCATTTGCGGCATGAAAAGAGTACGTTTTATTTTTCGAGTAGGTTTCTTTATTGTAGAAGTACTTGAGTTTCTGGGAGAGTCTGAAAGACTACAGCAAATTTTATTCAGGTTTTTTATTTTGTATTCTAATGATATTATTTTAGATTTTAGATTATTATTTTCTAAGATCAGGTCGTCTATTTCCTTATTAGCACTTTCTAATTGCCTTTTTAATGTATGTATTTCATCTTTTAATTCTTCCATAGTTTCATCACACCGTGTTGATAAGTCCGGTAGACTTCTTGCTCTGTTCATTTTTTCTGATCTAATCGATATTAATGATTCATCATCCAAATTACTCGTATTTAGTTGGGTAATATGTTTTCTAAATGTTATGTATTGCGTTATTTCTTCCTGTGTATTTTCCATTGTTTTGAATGCCTGTTATTTATATTTTCTTAAATAACAATGTTTAATCTCATTCAATTCAATATTCGAAACGTTTTGAGAAACTTGTATACATAGCGAAAACTGTTACAAAAAGAGAACTTGTATGCGGGATACGAACTCGTGCCAAACAGCTAACTTGACAATACCGAAAATTTAAGCCACTACGCCACCAATTAGATAAGAAACTTAACGAAATTAATATTCTGTATGTACGCTATCTATTTTATAAAAACGTTAGACGGTATTTGAAGGTTTTAAATTGAGAAACGATGATTTTAGTCACTTTTTCTGTTACGTAAATACACTAGTTTATGTTTTTTTTGTTTATATTGTTTCACTGTCAATAATTGTTATTTGAACTGCACTATTTGTTTTTAAGTTGTTAGAAGAAAGAACAACACTGTACTATTTATTATAAACAAAGTTTTATCGACACCTTTTAAAGACGTTTTTAAGCACCTTTCCCTAATAGTTTCGTCTAGATAACACTTTTTCTTGTTATTTGCACTGTCTTGTATATAATTTTGTATATATTTAAGGTTCAACTATGATTTCAGTAGTTTTAGGCAAAAATAAATGCGGAGTTGATGTTTCGCGTGGCCCACTACCTACCCTATCTTGCATTGCAGTGTGCTTCAATATTACGCCGTTCCAGAGCGATTTTGACTTGCGCAAATTTGAATATACGCTCTTAACTAAGATATTATTTTTTTATAATCACAGCACCTTTTGCATGTAAAAATAGTAATTAATCGATTTAAAAATACCTAATAATATTAAGTTCAACAATCATTGCACGCGCTTTGCGCAAGTCATGCAATAACGCAGTGGACGCTTAAAACATCAAAGAATTTAGAATGTTACTCGATTGCAATAGAAATAATTCTATTTCGATCGCTTGGATAGGTGCATTAAAAAACGTATTGATTTAATTTTATGTGAATACAAACATTATATCATAATTACAGCCCTTCACAATTCCACTGCGGAACATAAGCCTCCCCCAAGGAATGCCACAAAGCACGGTCCTGAACCACCTGCATATCTTACCAGGTCATCACTTCATCTATGGACTCCTGTTCGCCGTGGACTTCGCCTACCGATACGAGGCTGCCAACTACTTAAAATGTTATCATAATGAAGAAATAGCACAGTTACAAGGCGACTCCCTGATCAATTTAAAAACTATAGTGAAATGAATTCATTTCAATCTACTTATTTCAGAGTTAGCAGTAGGTGTTGCTGACGGGTGTTAGTATTTGAAGGAAAGAGTGGTATATTTTCTCTTATCCTGTTGAACGAAGGAATGGGCATGAAATGAACTGAACAGAAATGATCGAGTATAAAACACAGAATGTTGTATGTTTAAAATACAAACATGGAAAATAAAACTCACCAATCTTTTAACTATTTATTCATCAACATACATAATATCTACATTTGCACAAATATATTTTTAGAACCGCATCAGTAAATAGTACTTATAAACTGACTTTATAATACTTTTCACTTCTTTGTTGCAAAATGTACGCACTCAATTTGTGCCTAAGACAATGTATTACCATATTGGCATTTTCGTCATTGTCCAAATCGAATGATGATTACATTGATAATAACATTTTTACAATAAATTAGTTACATTAATATAGTGCACGGAAGCAAACTAATATTTACAATTGGAAATAACATTAAGATTTCATATATTATATAATAATTTTTTGAAAAAGAAAAATTGTAATCGATTAAAAGGAAAGTTAGTTCGTAATATTTGGTTTCTTTGATGACTATGCGCAGATAGCAAAATGTCATTGCCACCAAAAATTATTTTATCTAGTCACTCAAATCATCATCATATCATTTGTTCGCATACTTGGAAAGGGACAAAATCTCCGTTTTCAATATTAACTAATTTATTAGCTAGATACAACACACATTCCTTATAAATTTCGAAACTGATGGCTAGGTTATTTGTAAGCATTTCTAAAACACATGAACTAAATTAAAGTATATATAGCGCTGATGCAGAATCAGTTATTTAATTTGAAACCTTATACATCAATTCACACATCTTCAGTGGATGTGTGTGGGACTGTCTTGGAACAATGTAATATTGGAAATATAGTGCTCTAATAGTAGATTATATACAACAATGATTATATCTGTTATGAACCAATCAAAGCCTTCACAAGCTTCATTAAGATTTCATGGAATGTTTAAGCCTTGTAAAAATGACTAGATACTACATTGCATTGTTTTAAACTATTTTGAGCACCTTTTCATTCAGCAGTATTAAAAAGAAATCTACCAAATCTTAATGATGTTACATTATATAACAAAGTATACAGTAGTACATAGTAAATATTAATTTAATATATTAGTGCTAGGATATCATGCAATGAGTACCTAGTCAGTGTAAAGTGGATTACAACACAAACTATTGATTATAAGTAGTCTAAAACACTCCAATACAATCCAGAACTGTTCAATGTACAATCTAAAATCTTAGCACAAAATGCTATAAAATATTTTATAGATACAGTATTTAAATGTGTAAGTATATGAATGAATATGATGGTGCTAAGATCAGATAATTCTAAAAACAGTCATCTTCAAGATAATTAAATTACAAAATAACATCAATGTAATGTTGTGTGATTAAGAAATAGATGAGTCCAACACTTTAACATAGAAAACTGTCACTCATGCAGAAGATGTATTTGCACTCAGCATTGGTTGTCACAGATTTCAGGTTGGTCAAGGCAGGATGATCCAATGCTTGTACACTGAAAGTAACAATTAGATATTAAAATTATATATAGAATTTTACTGTATGTGATTGCTGTGAAACATCTCAGAGGGTAGCGTAAAAGTCAAACATAGAAATTTGTAAAGGTAATGCTTGCCAAATAACTTGAACTAGGTCAGAAGCAGAAGTCAATTTTATGTGATTGGAGGTGGAATTATACTCGTACTACTTGTATTACTAACCTAACCATTAGGGATCGATGTCTAAAATAAAACTTTTGAAATGTCCAACTGAAAGCCAAACATCGAGAGTTACATTTGTTTCATCCATTATAGTGTAGTGTAGTTCTTCGACCATTTCTGAAACCAAGGTCTGTAATAGCTGGTTGGAGGTGCAATACTAGAGCTTAAATTTGAAGTAAGATTACACTTGTTTTGAAGTGATTAAAAGAATAGCTTGGGCCATTACTTATGTAGGTACATATGGATGGATTGGAAATAACTTTTTATAGAGGTTGTACTCTGGTAAAGGTTTTATATAAATAGTTCTTACTTTTTTTTCAACAAAATTCTTCACTTAAACCTTAATCTAACCGTAATTTTCGGTTCAATATTCTTATTTATTTGTTGCATTGCTGTCATTAAAAAATATATTGACATTAAAATATCTTTTAAGTAAAAATTCAATCCAAGCAAACAGAAAAACACACATATAAATATATTATATATATTACGTATTACCCAAGGGCGTAGCCAGCCGATGGCTCAGAGGGGAAGCTTCCTAACAATGTCGAAAATATTTTATTAAAACAAAATGTGATTTCACTGTAACTTAAATCAATATGTCTATTTATTGTAACTTAAATTGAAACTGCAAAAATTGCATATTTTGCTAATTTTCATAGTATTATGTTTATGGAATCTTGCTGTAGGGTAAAGCAGAGAATATTGAGAAATTATGTGCATTTTATAATTAAAAACCGTCCGAATCCCTTCGAGAGAATTTTAAGGAAATAGGTATTCTCACAGAAGCTTCATATTATATATTTTATATATATAAAATTTTTGTAAAATGTATTATTCATCAGTACAATGAATTAGGTGGTGGTAGTAATGGCTGTGATAGTAGACTACCACCAGGGCAGTGGCTGCGGTTGCGGTATTGATGGTGATAATTGTGGTGGTAATGACTATGGTGGTAATGACTGTGGTGGTAATGCTGGTTGTGGTGGTGGTATTGGTGGCAGTGGTGTTGGTGGTGGTCCACTACCCACCACCATCAACAATACTACAAGCACCACCACCAACACCAGCACCACTACCACTAACACCATCTTCACTACTGTCTGACAATTGTATTATTTCCTCTCAAATTTTATACATAGTATGTATAAAAATTAAAGTTGTACAGTATTACATACTGTACAAATGTTAGGCATTAATTTATACGGAACACCAATTAATTACTTATATAAATCTATAATGTCTTAATTTATGATGAACTATCTCCAAACTAAACTCTAATTGTAAAAAAATATTTTAAAAAAATATAAAATTACGATAACAAAATTATTATGAACAATACATATTATATAACGAAAATATATAATATGTATTGTTCTTCCATTTGTTTAAATGCGCACGACTAACACAGTCCTTTCATGGATACTCTGAGCCGGTCCAAACCGGTTTGGAACCCTGACGGAGCGTTGGTGAACCTGTCAGTGAGGGCTCATGCATACATCGCTGCACTATGTATGGGTGTAGTCGCAGCAAGCCGTTTGTTTGTAGCTTCTCCCTGGTCTGTATCTTTACTCATGTGGCTCAGGTGAGGCAAATTGAGAGTATACAGAGGATGGGAAAGCGTAGGTACAAGAGCACATACAGATTTAAGAAACAAGAGTTAATATAATTATTTTTTTTTTAATTTCTTTGAGACTAATTTGATTATAGATAAAGAGAAAAAAGAGGCCTACTTCTGCTAAACAAAACTAGTTTCTAATTCAGTCTCATTTCCCCATTGGAATATCCCACGAGATATTATGCTATGCAATAACTAAAACAAACTAATATAGCTGTCTTGACACTAATGAGACTTTTAACCTTTAACATCATAAGCTGTATAACTTAGTCCACTTGCTAGTGGAGATATATAAGTCTCTACTGGTTTTATGTTTGAAAAGAAAAGCAGTGATTTCTACAAGGATCCATTTTTCCTCATTTAAATACTTATTTGTCTCCAGATATTTTACATTTGATGTAGTAAATTTTATACATTAAGTTTTATAATACAAAATTGTACTTACATTTAATTTCGTGCAAACATTTTTCTTAAGTTACTGGTTGCCCATTTTAACCTTTGACGTCATGTAAATGCCGACGATAAGACCAAAAAGACCAATTGCTGATCCAAAGATTTCCACAATCAGGATTTTGACAAAAAGTGCAGCATTTGCAGCATCAGCAAGAGCAGCTCCCGAGCCAACAATTCCGACGGCAATACCGCAAAATAGGTTAACCAATCCCACGGCTAATCCAGCGCCGAACATTACATATCCTGCCATCCAGTTTTGATTCTTGATGGTAATATCAGTCAATGGTTCAGTGTACTTCTCAAGTATTCCGGAAAGTACAATTGCAGTAATTAAACCGTAGATAGCTACAGCTTCACAAAAAAATTACGGAAATCAAATTCTTGGTCTTGATACGGGGTGATTTGACACCTCCTCCAACTATGCTCACTCCTGTTGTATGTATTCCCATTGCCGCACCAACCACAGAAAAAGCAACTGCAAAGGCAATTCCCAAGGTTCCCCACATGTAAGGGGATGTATTTTCCAGGAACCATCCGAAACTTATTTGCTCACCTTTTCCATTCAGAAGGTAGTACATCGAAAATATAGGTATAACGATTGCCACGAGGAGCACGAACAAATAACTTAAGAAGTACCTCATCTTGAAAGGATTTTTAGTGAATTGGAACTGCTGAACCAGAAGACCCCAGAAGGGATGGTCTTTTTTCTCCAATCCTTGTCTTGACAGAAAACTTAAAAACGGAGGTCTTAGGCATGTCGATCTAAAATCGATTAATCGAAAAATCGATTCTTTGGAGTAAAATTATCGATTTTTTAGATCGATTTGAAGCACCGCATCGATTCACTGAATCGATCCAAAAACCTATTGAATCGGACTGATTCATCTGATTCAAGAACTAGCTAAAATTCCCATTAATATCGCTCACCGTACTTTTAAATAGAACCGTTTCCACTGAGGTGTAATTTATATTACATCCCAAACTATAAATATTTTTTCGATCGACCGAGCGATATTTTCATATTATATTTCACATCCTGTGCTATAATATAATATAATATTATAGCTGTGACCCTGTTTGAACTGTGAACTTGTGAATTTACATTATTTATTATTAAAAATATACATACTGTGAGCTGTAAGTACAGACAGAGTACTTTTTAAATACCTAGATAATGTAAAAAATATTATACCGTACGTTGAAGTTTGTTGAGGTTTATTGTAAGGAAATAACCAGTATTGTGTTCGTGTAGCAATCATTTCAATATGATAAATAGTGAGTTATTAGATTGAAACAGATTTATCGAGAAATGTACGTTGCAGTTTGCACTTTTGTAAAAGTATTGTTGTTGTTTTTAGCCTAAAATGTCAAATAAAAGTGTTACGTGGAATCACTTTGTAAAAAAAAGGGATGGAGTGGAGTATGTGCGAACCACTCCTAACACAAGCGTTTCAAGCTTACCAGGAGTGGTTAAAAGGAATATTAGTAATGTTAATCAATAATATATTATTTAAAAAAATATTACAGTTTAGAAGTTAAAGAAAACAAATTGAAAATTATTGAAATTTCATGTTTGAAAATTTATGCGATTAATCGAAAATCGATCTTTTATTTCTCGATTTAATCGATAATCGATTCAAGTACCTTCGATTCAAATCGATTCAGAGATCGATTTTTTTTAAGAGTGAATCGACATGCCTAGGAGGTCTTGTGATCACAAGATGTCAAAGACAAAACAATGTTGCAATTTATTAAATTTATTTTTATTATCCATAGACTTCAAACACTATTTTTGTTAACACGTGACAAGATTTCCACGAAAAAAAAAGGATAATGTCAATAGTTTTTTTTAAATAGCTTCTGATGTGTAAAGTACTAAACATTTATCAAAAATTGTAAAGCAGTAAGTATAGATTCTCAGTCCACTTTAAAAAGCTCCGCTGTAATTTCAATCTAATCCGGCACCGCGCTTTTAGTAAATAGCTGCTCTGGCGTTAGATAAGCTAATATTATGATTAAAACCACAGGTCACTGATAAATGGTTATCATCTTTAACATCTAAATTCTGAACCCCAAACTAATAAGAAGATTATGAACATTGAATTTTGGAAGCGAAAACTTCTTTAGAATCGTTGTGATTTCAAACACGATAACACGAAAAGCGACTATAAAAAAGACAACCATATATATCTATAGGTTTCTCTGTCTACGCTCTAGGATTAAGCTCGCGAGAGAATGAGACAGAATACAGTGTAGACCTCAAACTCAAAAGGTTGTGGGTTCGAATCTGCCATTCAACCACCTAATGTTTTTTATCTTTAAAAAAATATTATTAATAGTATTTAAAAAATACAATATACATTTAAACTGTTAAAATAAACAGTATAAAAATTACAAATTTATGAAATAAATAATAATTACCTACCCATTTTGAATAAAATTATCTTTATGTACGAATTCATTTATAACAATCCGCGACTTCATAACTTCAGGCCACTCAGCGCCTATTTTCCGTACCACCTTGAGCAGTGGTGGATTAAGCAAGCGCGGATCCTATAGCAAATTCTATTGAGGGGCCCTTAATCTGCTATGGGTTCTTAAGTATAAAATGGTAAAGAACGGTTCAATACTTAATACGCTTATTTACACCTATAGGTTAAAATTTGGTTGGTGTATAATAGTAGAACAGATTACTATAATAATTTATAAGCTCCCTTAGACTCTGACAAGTACAAAAGCCAGAGATGAGATTGTTCTTTCAATTTAGAATATTTTGATAAGTTGAATAGTTTGAATAGTTGTAAATCTTTTTTTAGTACAAATTGCAATTTAAATATTGATATCATTCACACTTCTATGTCGACACATATGTTTTGTTTTTTGTTTCTTAAATAATATTGTATGCGGTTCCTATAAACATCGTAAAATCTTACGGTAAAAATGTGTTATATTTTATATTTCAATTTATGGTAAGTAACGCAACAGTTCATTTAATAACAGTTATATGTTAAAAAAAATATTTAAAGCAATATAATCAACATATTGAGCTTTTGGAAATTTATCCCTTTAAAATAAACAAAATGCGCGTTACCTCATTTTGTTCTAAAAGAAACATGACAATGGCAGCCAGAGATGCGTCACTTTTTTTGGGCCGGCCCGCATACACCGAATAAAAATAAAGTTCTTATATAATATTGAAAATAAATTTTTATCTTTTGAATGAGTACGTACTTATTCGGTGTCGTTTTTACTCGAATCTTTATGTGTTATAAGTGAATGCTTTTTGTAGTTAAATGAATAAAGTACTTTATAACAATAGATGATTTTTCATCTACAGCGATCTTTTACATAACTTTTTAATAATAGTTAATAAATATATATTATATCAATCATAATAATAAAAAAACATTATAAATAAAGACAGTACTACATATAAAAAGTGCTTATATATTGAAGGTTAGGCCCCTGTTTAAACGACCGAAAGTTCGATGTCCGTTTTTCTCAATCGATTTGGCACGAACTATATACTTATCAATTTCTCTAAGCAAATCATATTCTATATTCGTCAGAGAGATAATTGTGGCGTTCTTGACTCATATTATTCCTTAATTTATATTTTATACAGTTCAATGTGATAATGATTGTTGACTACTGCAGTTACTGGTCATGGGAAACAATATATGCGCAAAGCAGTTTCTAAATTAGGAAAACATGATTCTAATGAATTATTCATTAGGCATTTATAATAAAGAATTTCCAGAGATTCGTTTTTCATACTCTTGATAGTACGAAAAACGAATCTCTGAAAACGAAAACTGATGTGGCTGATGCGATTGATCGCATCTATCTTAAGTCTATAGGCCTCTCCACATTGCCACGTAAAACGCGCGCGATGCCGCGAATCTGATTCGCATGTTTTTGTACCCAGTGCTTTGGTAATTTTGCCGTGATTTTTAAATTTATCATACACAAAGTTCAAGAATTTTATTAAACTAAGTTTGCATAGAAAGGGTTATTAGAGTATTAAGGAATTTATGGATGATAATAACCCCTGGGAAGGATGATCACTACCAAGCTATTTATAATTTGTCTTGTATTGTTAATTGTAAACATGATTGTAAGCTCTTATTTGAAAAAAAAATAGTCCCGCTGGGTTTCTCGCTGATTCTTCCCACGATAGAGGTTTTTTTTGCGAAACGGTGGTAAATGAAAAAAGTGACTTTCAATGAGTATTGTTTATAATCTACATTGAATAAAAAGGTTTCTGTTTCTATTCGCACCGCGATCCACGCCGCAACTTCACGCCGTTATTCGAGCGCGAGTATAGAGAGCGCATATAAGCCAAATATTTGATTTTCGACGAAACTGCCAGAGACTACAGAACAATGACCGGTTTTTCTCCGGTATGCAGATGGCAGATCAAAGAGAATTAGAATTACTGCTAATTTTAAGATAATTGGAAGGTGGTTTAGGTTTGAAATTGACCTCTGATTATTTGCTGCTTCTGTTGTATTGATTAAATAATGTTTTAAAATCTATTTTGATCGTAAAAGTAGTGCGACTTTGTGTATTAAATATATATATATATAACGCAAAGACTGCCTACAAGGACTATTAGTCCTAAAAGTAACTCCTGATCATGAGGTTTCGGGTTCTAATCCCGGATCAGGTTAAAAATCAATTAATGAGTTTTTCTGTGAAGAAATTCTGTGAAGAGTGATGAGAGTGAGCTAATAGAGAGTGCACATGTGCTCACGCATACTATAGTATTGTCCTGCGCAGATGGCTAGTCTCCATGGAGACTGGCTGTCGTGAAATTCAGTCTGGAGGAAACTATACTATAGCGTATGTGAGCTATAATCGGAAACGATGTAACAAGTTCTTTGACATAATATTTGAATCTTAAGTTTTTTATCCCCTATGGTCTTGAGAAACTATTGTTTTCAACTACGTCCTGGGTTAAACTATCGTTAAAATCTTCCAAAATCATTGCAATGTGAATTTAAACATCATCATATTGTGAAGTACTTTGTAAACATTAGATTGTGCTGCATTGTCTTAGATCCTTTTATCTGTAAAAAATATTAATAATAATATAATAATGACCAATCTATAACATGGAGGTTAGAGAGAAGGAGAACGATCGCTACGTGCATAGCCCGCCTGTCCCTGAACTGCCGCCGGTAAGTAGTATCTGCTAAGTTAGCTGTTTATGAGTACAAGTAGATGAAGTTAGTTGAATAATGTACA